GCAACTGGTTCTTCAACCTGCAGTGCAACTGCTTTTTATGTATGTGATCATTTTTCCTACTTCATAAGGTCCCTTTACAATCCTGCAAGGACCCGCACAAGGAAAAAGAAAGAGAGGAAGGCAGAGATGGAGATGGGATGACAACATTACAGAGTGGACAGGAAAGATGATGGGTGACAATCTGAGGAAAGCAGAGGACAAAAATAGATGACGAGAGCTGGTTTTCAGATGCAGTGGTGCCCAACGGTTGCCTCAACCACGGGATAGAAGAAGAAGAAGGTCTCATGCCTCGGGGCAGCCATATTCCAATATCGAAGGTATTGAATATGTTTTAATATTAACTAGAATATTTTCCGTTTTGGTAGGATTTTTGCATCTTGACCGGGTGGTTGCCTACACCTACTCTGATCGATTTTAGGATCACCAATGGATCTTTAGCGTGCACAACTTACACTCGGGACCTTCGAGATTTTTTGCATTATCCAAGAAGACTAGATGTTAGATCTTACCTACCTTAAGATCAGGGGTGTGGCTAAAAGACAGCAGTAAGAAGGAACCCGGAGAACGGTAGAAAGAGAAGAGAAAAGGGGAGAGGAGCCCAGAGGAGGTTGGATTTTTTTTTTGGGGGGGGGGGGAGGAGGAGGGGAGTGGAGAGGAAAGCATATGACAGAACAGGACTACAGGACCTGACAGGAGGAGAAAGGAGAATGTTTCGGAGAATAAAAGTTTGACTCGCTCTCGGGTTTCGAACCCGACCTACTGAATAAAAGGCGAACACTGTATCTCTCTACCACGAGAGCCCCCTTGTGTTTATTATATGATTGTTACTATAATCAGACAAATGGTTGCAGTTGAGTATTACAAGCAGGTACTTATTTTAAATAAAAAACAAAACAAAACAACAACTTCATTTTAGTGGTTAACAGATTTTAGATCACTATAAGTTTATAACAATTATCTTGCATTTATATATATATAGCGCGTAGCCACACCCGACAACATACTTCATGCGCTTTATATGCACTGCCTTTATCCTACAGGTCAAAGAAAACGACTCAGAAATATTCTTAGTTGCCCGGGAAGCTCACAGTGCAAGTTTAACCCCTCCCCCCAAAAAAACAAAACAACAACAAACAACCCCCCAACCCCCCCAAAAAACCCAAACAAACAACAACCCCAAAACAAAACAACAACAAACAAACAGAATCCACCAAATCTTCTCCTGCTTGGGCAAACAAGATATTCAATCTGGCCCATGACATGAAACCATTTTCCAATGCTTAGGCTCTTCGCTGTTGCGCTCAGATGACAGGAGTTTAAATCCTCATGGGAAAGCTAACTGTATTTTGCATTTCTGCCTTTCTGCAGGGGTACTGTGCTGAGTTGGTGTAGTCATGCAGAGCCGATGCATCTCCCTCCATACATTTTAATGATCTAAAATGTGTCAGTGTGAGTCTAGAAAAAGACAATCTATAGCCGTCTTAACAGTCAGTCCTTCGTGTTTATAGAACTTTTATGTTCTTAATGTCATGTCCATATTGTCATCGATTGTTTATTCACTTATGGTTTCTGCCGAGATGAACGTTTTGTAAAATGTTTGGAGCTCTATTGAAGGTAGTGGGGGAAAATCTTATTTTTCTCATTCTTATTCTTGTTGTTATTTGTATTCTAATATTCTTATTCTCATTCTCATTTTCACTCTTGTTTTTATTTTTATTCATATTCTTATTTTATACTTTTTATCATTATTACTTTAGCAATAGCGACGCTTAAAAAAAAATGCCTCTTTAATGGAAACACCAAAAAGAATAATTATTCATCGCATTTCGGCGAGCTGTACCTGTCGAGTGGTATAATAGATTTCTCCTCCTCAGACTCTCCGCACTGGAGTAAACACTGAATTGTGGGTGGTTGGCGGATGCTCTGGTGTGGTTTGCTCCTTCTTTCCTATCAAACATCTATCGTCCTTATCTCTCCTCCTTCTTTCTTGTGTATGTTACTCTCTTGTAACACATCTATTCTTCGGTACTTATATGACCTTATTGTGTTGCAAGTGCCGTAAAACTCTTACGAAAACTAAAAAAACCCAACCCAACTCTGAATTAATATTTTGTCTCAAGGCACGTTGGTGTCAATAACCTCAGAACGGTCTGAGAGGGGAGACAATTTCTATCACTAATCACACCCAAGAAAAGATGCAGTTACCTCCCCTGACAGTTCATTGGCACCTTTGTCGATGTTGTTCGGCTTTGTAAGGAGAAGTTCCAATGACACAATACCGATCATAGTATAATGTGAGAAAGAAGCAAGACAGACGGAAACAACAAAAGGAGCAGGAAAGAAGTAGGACCTATCGGTGGCGCTTTCTAACCACCCGTTGATGCTGTTGTTTTCTTTTATAAAATGTAGGTATTGGTGTTTTTATCGCCCATCAATTTAGGTAATTTAGAAGGCGGGCTTCGACTGTGCCGGTCGGGACAAACCCAGACAAGGAGGGATAATTCCAAGAAAACGACCGAGATCATTGATAAAACCTGTCCCCACTAGGGAATGGAAACTCGGGTTTTCTCTTGGGAGGGGCGAGGAGGCTAACCGCTACACCACAGACACAGTTGTTTCTTTGAGTTCACATTTCCATAAAACAGGTATCACATAATCGTGGAGTCCACCAAGGATTTCATTAGAAGAAGAATGTATTTGATTTTGTAATGCAACTATAAAGCAAAGATTCAAAATAATTCTTCCCATCCGCACGCCAAAAAAGAAGAAAAGAAGAAAAAGAAAACACACACACACACACACACACACACACACACACACACACACACACACACATACACACACACACACACACCCACACCCACACACACACAAATAAACACACAAGACAAAACACATACAATGAAATCACGCATGAACTACACATTGAACACATTCGTTTCTTCTTAAATATATATTTATTCTTTTCAAAAACTCAAACAATAACCAAATATTATTCATAACTTGGTTTACTTGCATAGTTTAGGAAAGAAGTCATTCGAGAATCAGATACAGACTCTGATTTTCCATGTCCACACCAAGAGAGCTGAAGCAATAACACACCTGTTCCATTAACTCTTTCGGGACGTGCATTCTGACCATTCGGCACCTCTTACTGTTTTGGAGGCACTTTCAGCACTTTCAAAACAAAGGAGGACGGCGTTTTCTATAGATTTTTAAATTCTGTTTTCTTCATTTAAAACCCTTAAAAGCACGAAGAAATATGCGACCTTTGAAAGTTTCGTGTTTTGAGTTTTTCTGTTTCTGGTTAGATATGTGCCGCAACATTGTCTTTGGCCTGCTGTTGATCGGACGTTATGTATGCGTTCGCTACGTCCTTAAGGAGTTAACTCATAAGTGCGGATGGCAACAAATACACAGGATTTTTTTCTTCTCACACAAGGGATAAGCAGACAGAAAACAGAATAATTATTAAAAGTTTCAGTAAAAAGCTTTATGAAAGCTCAAGACGTGAAAGGGAATACGTGTGAAAGAAAGAGGAAAAGCAGTGGAAGAAGGAAGGAAGGAAGTAAGGTAGGAAGAAACAAACCTGTACAGATCTGAAATATTCACACTGTTAACTCATGTAAACAAAAACAATGATCACAAACAGTTGCAGCAGTCTGCCAAATAGAATACAGTTGACCACAAATATTTTTTGCAGTTTGAAATTAAAAGTTAAACCACAATTATTATATCAGATATGAGGTTGAAATCCACTTGCACATTACAAAATAAATAGAAATATTGCACTTTCACATTGCCCTTAGAATACTTCGAATTCGTCGTCTAAAATGAGCTTCCAAGGGTTTTCTCCACCTTGAACATGGCTTGCCAGATTGGTCGACAGGAAGACGATTATACATTGTTATTTTTAGTCAATTTCTTTCAAAACAAGGTCATCTTCTTTAAGCCATGGTGAATGTTGAAAACAAATTTGACAGCAAGAAATTTCTCTACACAGCAGCATGCGCTTTTTTTTTTTACCTTATGCTGAGTAGTGTTGCATATTCTAAACTTAATAGGTTCTCTTTTCAAAAATAAACTGTTATTAGTCCAATACCAATTAAAGAAAACTTATTTATTTGGAATAAACCATCACAAGGTAAATTTTAACGAAAGGTTACACGAAAAATTAAATCATACAGCAGATATGAGATACTTGCAAAGATCAGGTTATAGATGGTAATACAATTAAAACAAATCAAATTCAACATGTAGACGTTTGGAACATCATAGATTGACAAAATGTATCGGATGTACATGGCACAGGGTACAGGGATCCCATTTGAGTAAGCGGTTAGTCTTGTCCGTTACGTATTTTGGGGGCTTGACTCCCGAAATAGTAAGCGGGTAGGGTGAAATGTAACTAAATGTACACTGTAAACTACATTTGGTCTCAGTTTCTAATCTGTGGGGCTGAAGTCTAATTCTACGGAAATTGTTTTTGCTGTTTTAAATTAGATTTAAAAGAAATGAGCGGGGAGGCGTGGTTTTTTTTCTTCTAAATTTTGTGTAACTGACGGTTGTTAGGGGGCACAATTAATAACACATTCTTTAGTGTTAACTAGTTGGGAATAAGAGGTGGACAGACATTAGACATGCATTTCATTTAAACGAAGAGTTTATTTTATTTTGGAATAACAGAACAATAAAGTTCACACATTAAAACAACCAGAAACATCTTCTTTGTCATTGCCGAACACATATAAACTGTGACTCGCATTGCTTCTTGCAGTTTTTCAAAACACATGGCTTGGTGGTTTTATTTGAGCCCTTTGGGAGGGGGAGAGGGAGGGGGAGGGGGGAGGGGGGAGGGGGGGGGGGAGGGGGGAGGGGGAGGGGGGAGGAGGAGGGGGAGGGGGAGGATGGTGGTGCTAGGAAACAACCATAGTGCCCCAAAGTATGAGACACTGAGTTCTCAGTATATTACTTACAACTTAGAGGGAAAGAATAATTCATTTTTGTTGTTGTACGTTACAGTGTATGGTTTTGGGCGTCCAATCATTAAATGTGTACCTATGGAGAATAGACTGCCAGACTCCCTCCCAATTCCATTTGCCACAAAAAAGATTGCGAATAAGAATCACGGAAAAGATATCCTTAGGAATTGGACATTTCATCAACCTTAATTTTTGTTTATATACAAACAAATCTCCCGCTTCATTAATCCTGAAAGCGGGCATTTTCGCAAACTGGTCAGAGAGTGTGCCCAAGTCATTTTTAAACGAGAGGGTCACTATATGCATTGGAGTACGCTTTGTGTGTGTGTGTATGTGTGTGTGTGTGTATGTGTGTGTGTGTTTGTGTGTGTGTGTGTATGTGTATGTGTGTGTGTGTGTGTGTGTGTATGTGTTTGTGTATGTGTGAGCATTCCTAAACACACTCAAACAGATCTAAATATTGAATTGAAAACGAAAAAAAAAAAAGAATTAAATCAAATCCTGGACGGAACCTTTGTCATAATACACAACCCCACTCGAGATTCATCTGCAACTAAATTTATAGTTTTTCTTTTTGACTTTGAAAAAATTATTTTAGGACAACGACGTCACCGTCAAGGTCAAGTCCGGTAACTTTTGCTCCATCATCACTCAGCCGGAATTCGCACTTGCTGACATGCTTGAAGGGGTCCTTCTTGCAGAACTCTAAGTTCACTTTCTTTGGCTGAGCACACGTGTCGTTCTCGATTATGAAGCAGATTGTGGTTTTGTCCACTTGCTTCTTACTGCGGTTGATGAAATATTCCTGGAAATCTCCTGAAACCAGAGATACAGAAAAAAAGTGAATTATTATCTTAAAGGAGACACAAAATTAAGTTAATGTACAGTTGAAATTGTCCAAGACGGCTACCCATTGTCGAGGAGAAATTTTTCTGGATTAGAGCAGAGCTCGTCATCTTTTTTATAACTAGCGCCCACTTTTGCCTCTTTTGGGAAGCTAACATTTTGCGCACCGTCCACCAACAATTATAATTCTACGCAGGGCATTGAATCATACCGGCCACTACTCTGGTGATCTGAACCGCCCGCCAACAATACCAAATCGCCCAGGACTTTGCTATAAGCTCCTTGGTTAGAAGAGAAAGGTTTATTGCAGGCCTCCATTGGGAACCTACATGACCAGCAACTCACATTCGGGGTCTTCGCCACTGTGACGTCAACACAGGGGTAACCTGACGTCATGCGTGAAATACGATTTTGATCTTATTGTAAAAAGAGCAACGGTGCTGAAGCAAACAGCATTTTTTTTTCGAATTATGAAAAGTACACAGATACAATAATACTTTTTTTTAGTGCGGGAGAAGCATAAGACAGACTGAAACAACAGAGGGAAAATAAAGAAGTAGGACCTGCTAGTGGTGTCCTCCAAACACCAAGTAATTTAAGGCAGAAAAGATAAAAAAGAAGTGGTTGAAGAGGACCATCTCTAAGGATATTGACAGGCAGGTTCAATATCCCATCCTCACAAGGGAATCAAAAGTGTGTCTGCTTCGACGACGATGCCTCAGACTGCTGCATGAGTTATGCGTTGTTGACATAACCTTTGATTTCCTCTCTGTGTGTGCGTTATTCTTTTCATTAATCCAACAGGCCGCACAAACATCAGAAAAGAACTGCCTGATCTCTCTCTTCGGAACGACTAAACTTAATTAACCTACATTGCACACCCGGGGACTCCCCACTGTTGCATGACATGAGGTCGCCATTACGTCACGCACGACAAACTTGTATTATATTTATAGCAAAAAGGAAAGTGAGCACATGTGTTTGTGCTTGTTGAAAAGGGGTGGGGGGATAAAATCGACTTGTACCCATGTATCACTCAAATGTTTTTTCTTTTGATCTTCCTTTTCTTCTCATCCCCCCCTCTCTCTCTCTCTCTCTCTCTCTCTCTCTCTCTCTCTGTCTCTGTATCTCTCTCTCTCTCTCTCTCTGTCTCTGTATCTCTCTCTCTCTCTCTCACCCTCCTCTCTCTCTCACCCCCCCCTCTCTCTCTCTCTCTCTCTCTCTCTCTCTCTCTCTCTCTCTCTCTCTCTCTCTCCCTCTCTGTTCTTTTTTATAGTGCCAAAAGTTTGTGTCACATGCTCAACAGCCACGATATAAGTTATTAAAAGCCAAGAATAACTGAAAAGGCTCTCATAAAAAGCCCAGGGGCATCGAACTAATTCTCGGATATTTTTCTTTCTGAACTCTATAAACAGGAAGAGAAGAAAGGGGTTGGTTTGGGAGCCCCGGGGGCCGGGTTCGAGAACAAGACAGATAGCGCCGAAGAGTCTGCAAGCGCGGTGGTACTTCGAAAGGCGACGGATTCGGGAGAGATTCTTTTTCTGCAAAAGTCTAGAGACGCCTGTACTGTGAGTGGCCGTGGAAAATGCCAGAGGTAAAGCCACTTGTACAACGCGTCATTCCGGCTGTCGGAAAGCGAAGTCTTCAAGAGTCAAGAGCGAAGACGTACACCTTTAACTCTTACTGTACGGAAGGCTGTTTCACGGTTGTACGCAGCCAATTTCATCATCCGATATTCCGGCACAACAGCTTGACTGACAACTGCGCTCCTATCTAACATACCTGCATAAAATAAAACCAAAAGGAGTACAAACGAATGCTATCTGCATAACTCATGCAGTTGCATTTTGAATTAATGGATTTGCTGTTGTTTTGTAGATAAATGTTATGTCTGTAAACAATCGAACCAAGCCTCGAGTGCCAGCCCAACTAGCTCACCGTTTACTACGAGTCAAACAACCTTCTGGAGCAAAAGGAAGAAATAACAGAGGTCAAACTTGTAGCCCTGTAGTCTTATACGTAAGCGCACTTCTGGCCTTCTGAGCTTAGAGTGAGGAGTTTGAATAGGCGTATACTTCTTGCCTTCTGAGAGGAAACTAAGAGACAAAATAAACAATTTGCATCTCTTTCAAGTCAGTTTGGTGTGATCTTTTTCGAGATATAAAAAAGAAACTAAGAAACGAGAAGCATTCAACTATCTCACATAAGATCCAGGCATAAAGTAGACATTTTTTGTGTGCGTGGAAAAGGGTGTGTGTGTGTGTGTGGGATTGCAATCATCCCTAGACACAGACAAGGATGTTAAGGTAAACAAGTCTTACCCACCCGGGAATCGAACTCAAATCTTTTGCATACAAAAGGCGAGACGCCGTTATGCCTCAAATGCCAATTCAAATGTCTTATTTCATCACGCGAGCGGCTGTACTCCTAATTGGTCTGCGGTAGTTTTTTTACGCATCAAGAATAAAGTGTTTAAAATTTTGAAAGCACAAAGAGAAAAACATGCAACTCAATTGTAAAACGAGTCATTCCTATTTACCGCCCCCCCCCTCTCCATACACCTTTCTGTGCCAAATTGTATAGATCTACATGTTTAACGCCCCTTTCAATAATGTAGGTTTATCTAAAAGGCAGGACCTCATACTAAAAGGCAGGACCGAGCCAATAAATAAGAACATTCGCGTAAAATGCCTTCGCCAAAGACACAGTCTTGAACCCTGAACATTATTTACAAAGACACTAAAATGAAACAAAGATATAAATGCAGCAAACACCAACAATCAAATTTACCTGTGACCTGATATTGCTCCATCAAATCTCAGCAGAAATACAGGCACTCAAACGCCCGAAACAATCTATTAACGCTCACAGGAGACGAGGATTTAAATCAATTTCTTCTGGGTGACTCTTGAGAACTGATGAGCTCAAAAGGCACAGATAGAGAAAAAAACAACAACAACCCAACGAGAATCAAACTCAGGTCAACAATGCGGCGAGGCTCCTAACTGCTTTACCACAGACACCTATGATCCTTTATTTATCCACAAAGATTTCAAGTAAATTAGGAGCCTCGGCGATGAAAGGAGGTCACATCTTCCAGGTGATACCGGCATTGCAGGCTCTTGTGGCCGAATGGTCAGTTAGTTCAGGCACACATTAAGGGTCAAATATGGCGCATAGAAGGGTAGTCACTGGGGTGTGTCCGTGAGCAAGTCACGATAAGCCCTGCTTAAGAAAAAATAATAAAAAAGGCACTGCACAGTGGCGACAAGCAAGGTGTATTTTAGTATTTCTTTCAAGTGTGTATGTTTGCATTTTTGTCATAATCTATTCATGTAGGTATTGTATAATTATGTTTTATCATTGTAAACTAAATAATTTCGTTTTTTGTTTTAAAGTTTCATTCTTTCTTCTGCCTCTCATGTTTGGCACTTACAGGACCGTCTCTGTGTTTGCAGTGCCGCTACACCATACTATTTAATTTTCCTCTTTCTGTTTTACACAAAACACTTTTGTAACTCGTTAAAAAAAGGGTCAGTCAATCAATCAATTCATTTATCTGCCAACCCGCCCGTTCTGTTTTACTCTCTCTATTTTTCTTCTAAAATTAGAACAAACACTAAAAATAAAACAGACCAATCTATTCTTACCGTTCGGAACATTTTTTAACCTATTTCCTCTGACAGAATCATTTTGGCTTTCTATTTTGAGCTGATATAGGTAAACATATCGATAAGGATTCCTCTAAACGGCCTTCTGTCTCCACCAAGAGTATGAAAGGGGTACGTTGTTTACGCACAAGGAAATTGCCTTCTGGTGTTTTTGCCGGCATGTGGGCTGTTTGGGAATTATTGTTATGACGAATGACGTACTTAGAAATATTGTTATGACGAATGGCGTTGTATATAGATCAACTGTTTTGCTTTGCTGGAATCACGTTTGTTAGAATAATTCATACGCTTGTATAAAAGGTCAATCTGGTTTTTTTCTCTCCAGTGATCGATGGTGTTTGTGCTTGTGTTTGCATTTGTGTGTGTGTGTGTGTGTGTGTGTGTGTGTGTTTGTGTGTGTGCGTTTGTGTGTGTGTGTTTGTGTGTGTGTGT